GTGATGGATCAGACCACCTTTCTGCCATCGCTCCTACCACATCCATGTCAGAGCATATCACAGTATTCAAACACCAGTTAAAAGACGACTGGATTTCTCTATTCTATCATAGTAGTTTGAGGGGTGAACCGCAAAATATCTGACGCTCGCTGTGTAAAAGCATTAACTGCAGTGTGAATCTTACACCAGACAAACAGAGTATGTTTAAACTGAAAACAGGGCTTTTTTGTCTTGTTTGATCTACAGTATCATTAATTCGCCGTGTTGTGCGAGTGACAGAGCACTGCTTCAGGTTAGTCCCCTGCTAAAAACATCTAGCCTGGAAAGATAGCGCTCTCCTGCTTTCCAATGCCTCACAGCTTCCTCAGTTTACTTTCGTTTAAATCAGGGCTGTAACTCACATGAACCCACTTCTTTCTTTCACTTTTGTTGCTTGGGAATGCAGTAACACTAAAATATGACTGAGTGCTGTAGTTAACTGCGCTGTCGTTGTAAAGAGCAGACGTGATTTAACGCTGCTAAAGCTCATTAGGATGTAAGTGAGTTCACTGTAGGACAGTAGAGTTACACCACACTTGGTCACAGGAGAACAGATCGCCGGTTTAATATTAGACTTACTTTTATGGAATGTTATTTAAATGTACAGGAGTTTTAGGTTGCTTGTAGCACCCATGTAGTAATAGTCATATTTTTACTACTTAACAACCTTGTAATTCAGAGTTCTCAGTCACATTCAGGGGAAAACATACATATTACAAAACGTATCAGACTTGGAGATTTTCGAAATCGGCATTAATTACCAGCTTATACCTGGAGTTCCTAACACGGACACATTGATGACTACCAAATGACTACATGACTTTAGAGGTCTGTAGTGGTGATAGGAACTCACGTCTGGTTCTTGTCACCAATCTGTGAACAATTCTGACTCATCAAGTTTCTCTAGAAACCATTTCACATCAAACAACTCTTAATCACTTTGTTTACATATTAAGAGTCTTCCAGAAGTTGTTAAAAATCGGTGGCGTTCCCATTTAAGATGGTTCTTGAAGCTTAAGGAAATACAGTAGGCCGAGATTTGTAAGCATTTCAGTGCAGATATGTCATTCACCTTAGGGCAGGAGTAAAAATGAACCAGGAAAATGTCACTGACCACAAATAATTATATATTCTCTTACTGTCTTTAATCACATCTTACTCATTTCTTTGGGCTGAATGCTCACCAGACCTTATGACAGGTCTGCAGTTGTAGCTAAACAATGACGTCTTCAACAGAAATCGCCTGTTGTAATAACCTGTGTAGAGGTGGCTCAGTGCTTTGACAAAACCATGACTAGTGGATGGTAATTAGTCTTTGATAATGGCATTGTGTGAACTGAGACAACAATACAGTTAGGTCATTGATTCAGCACCCACTTAGCTAATGTAAACAGTGCATGACTGTGCCACAAAAAACAATAACAAACGTGATAGGCTAATGAAAATATACAGTTTTGTGCAACGATCATAGTCCATCCTCCATTTATTAATTTTTTCATTAGAAATGACCTCTAAGTACAAGGTATTCGAAATAGTTCAAAATAATATAAAGAGAAAACGGGACCCCTAACACCCCTGCAAAAGCTAGTACACCACCGAAACTGTCCCCATCAGAAAAACAGTACTTAAAGTTTGCATCTTTGAGAGAGAGGAGAAAATCAAGCTTATTGAATGATGAGAAGAAAAGTGCAACCAACTTCTAAAACTGAACTTTGGAGCTGTGCAAAGAAATCCCTGCAGATTTCTTTGAAAAACTAAATCAAGCCTCCCAAAAAGACTGGAAGCTTTAGTAAAGGTAAAGATAAAGCATCAAAGAGATGTTGGGTTCAATCCAAGAACATAGTTTTTTTCTTGTAAATTGCTGGAGGGCATGTTTTTGATTTCATAAACTATGTGATCTCTGCAGGCTTTGCATTGCGTCCTGCTTCAGGACACCTGAATCAGCTCATGGCTAATTATTAAGCAATTCATTAACTAAATCCGGTGTCACAGAAGGGTAAACTCTAAAATCTACGCTGTGGCCATTAAGCATAACGCCACTGTGTTAGTGGGAGCTGCCCAGCCTGTCCTGCCAGCTAAGTGACATTCTAACAGGCACAGCAATAGGGGTAGCTAAGTATCTGTTAAATTCCCGAAACTCTCCTCTAAAGCCAAACTTTATACCCATTAAAACCTAGCCTCAAAGGGGAATTCCACTGTTTCTTCACAAAGTCTACATGAGTCAGTCATTATGAAGTAAACAAAAGAATTCTGAGTGACTCTTTCCCCCCTGTAGGCACCCAGCAGAGACTTAAGTTTCATTCACATCTTAAAAAATATGCGTTTCACTAAACTTTAGCAATTATCAACTATCCGCACCCCCTTCCCTGCAGACAGGAACTACAGGGAGATTCACTCGAAAGAGGCCCCGAATATTCTGTTGTAACCCCCGTTAGGGTGAAGCAATCTGAACCAAATAAATACGCTACATACTTTGACATATGTGTAATCGATTGCATTACATGCGATGCTGGAAGTGATCTCCATTTTCTGCCACATTTCGACGCGGTGCTCCATGTTCCTGAACATTCCTTGCCTGAACAACGTTTCTTGCCTGAACAATGGCGCCTACCTCATTGCTCTGATACGGGGGCATCCTGGCTTGCTCGAAGCTCCATATACTGAGCACGTATACATTGCACGTTGTTTCATTCAGATTGCTTTGTCCTAGCGAGAGTTATTACAGAATATTTGGGGCCTCTTTCGAGTAAATACGTCACTTTTTGTCCCAATGACTTGTTTAGGCATGGACCACATATATATTTGTTTTACCACGTATATGATCTACCTCAGCTAGGTTGGCCTCAGTGTGGTTGTCAGCTTGCCATGTGAAAATTTGTAGCGCGAAACGTTTTTTGTGAGAAGTTGCAACATAACACAAATAAAATTTGTGTAAAATTGCTTTTTTTTTCTTAAAACTTGGTTTAAAATCTCCTTTATTTATGTTGTTGTTAGTAATGTAGCTCTTAGCTTGCTAAATAGCAAGCTAGCAGAGTAAAATTAATTCAGCAGTCATGTATAACAGATGGAATATTAGAGGAAAGAGTTAGAGGTAAGGTTTTGACATGTTAAGCATTTTAGAGTAGTTTATGGCTTATAAATAGCTTTGTCCACAGTTTTTGGGGGGCTTGAAAAGGGAGGTGAGGGCTTGTTAAAAACAGTTTTGGCATAGCCTTAAACTCTCACACTGTCAAAAATCAAGCTTTCCATATAGTTTGTTAATAATTTGACAATGATTTCACCACTGTCGTATGGTAACTTTAAAGGAAAGACATATTATGGAAAAATAGGAGGAGTCCCCCTTAAGAACAATGTCCATTTACTGTAAAGCTACACAATTAAAGTTGTTAGTTTCTACTTTCTACTAGCGTTTTCAAAAATTACAACACTAAAAATGTCATATCTTAAAAAAAAATTGAAGCCCTAATTTGTGTTGAGATTAGGTTTAGCCCCATCATTTGATCAGAAGGTAAGACTAGGGGACATCTTTCCTTCTTCCCCCATGTTATTATATTAATTTAACAAATTTTCTGTTGGTATATTGGTCATGAAACAGACACACAATATAAAGATCAGCTGCTGTTTTCAAATGGTGTAAAAATAAAAAATGACATGCATGACTTTGTCAACAGTTTGACGTTGGCTGTCTTGTGTAGACATTTTAAAGTGATATATTGCTGTAAATTATTTTCATGGTAAAAATAATTCACAGCGAAATACTGTTCTTTTTAGGGCTTTTATGGGATTTTATGGTCAATGCTTGTTGTCAGCGAAGTACTGTATATAAATATATATTACAAAAGATTTTAATTTTAATCTGGATTACAATTACAGTGTATAGTTACTGTAAAAAATGCAAGAACATGCTGTAATGTACTTACAGAAGAACACTGTAACTTGGTATCTGGTAACAAACTGAAACTCAGAATTTAACAACACTTTTTACAGTAGATTATTTGCAATTTTTCTACAGTACCTTTTTTTCTGTGACAGATGTAATGCCATAGAAGAACCACTTTGGTTCCCTAAAGAAGCTTTTAACCTTAAAAGAACATTTTGTAAAAGAGATACATGAGTATGAAGAACTTCACTAACACTTTACTACAACTTAATAACATTGGCATAACAGTGTCGTAAACATGCCATGCCAGATATCACAGTCTGTCATGAGTTGTCATAACAAATTATATCAAGCACAGCATTAGTTCAGGCAGGCCACAAAGTCAAGCTCAGGCCACAATCACCTGCTATTATCGGCTGATCTGATTGCCAGCTACTGGCTAAATTTGTCATCTTGCTTTTTTAAGATGCTTTAGCCCGCCATCCTTGCCACTTCCTCCTTCTTGACTTGTTCAGTATCATGTTTGTCATTATTGATGCCTGCTCTGTACCTTAGAGGGGATCTTTCTGCTGCTCCTAATGCCTTAGGCTTCACATCTATGCATGTATGTATGTCCATATATGTACCAATTATACCACCAAAAAAACGTATGGACATAACATTTTTTTGACGTAGTGGTCCTGACTGAAGTTCAGTAATATAACAGTTTCATGTTACCATTACTGTTAATTGTCATGATAGATGTCACAATGTTTGACAGCTAACAAGTACGCTTAGCAAGTATTAGCATTCCCTTTGATGGTAGCATGATGTTGTTACATTCTAAATTTATGACAACTCTCGACAGAATATGGTTATGGCATGGCTATGTAGCAAAGTAGATGTAAAATATTACCAGAACCTCTTTAAAGTTTAAGAAACCTACATAAAAAGTAGGTTCTGTTGCAATCCTACAGCCACACATCCAAGCCAGGAACCATTCAGGATCCTTTACTTTTAAGTGCATAGATAAGCTATGACCTACCATCATAATAAAATGTAACCCCGATCAGTAATGACATTTTCTATGTTGCTTTTCCAGGTCATCATGGCTTTGAACTACCCAGCCCTCACTTCAGCCCCTCACTTCAACATCAGCCCTCCCTTGCACTCATCCAGCCCCCTCACGTCCTCTTCCCCCTTATCCAGCTCCTTCACTCCCTCCAGTCCTACGGAGACCATCATGAGTAACAATAGTGGAACCATAGGGGGTGCCCTCATCCTTACCATCGTCTTCCTCCTTGGTGTTCCCGGCAACCTGTTTGTCATCTGGAGCATCGTGGCCCGGGCACGCCGCCGCTCCGTCACCACCCTCCTAATCCTCAACCTGGCCTGTGCAGATGGAATGCTGATGGTGCTGACGCCCTTCTTCATCGTCTACCTGGTCAAGAGAGGCTGGGTCTTTGGCCTTCCCATGTGCAAGGTGACTTTCTACCTCTGCTGTGCCAACATGTATGCTTCCATATTCCTGATCACACTGATGAGCCTGCACAGGCTGGTGGCGGTGGTGTGGCCACAGCACCTCAGAGGATTGACCACTCGGAGGATGGTGGTACGGGTACTGCCGGTGATTTGGTTTCTGGCCCTAGCTCTGGCTGTACCTGTTTTGATCTTCAGAGAACTGACTCCGAGGAGAACTGAAGAGACTGAACACACTGGGATGAAAAGTCTGGTGTGTGACTGCAAACACCCTCATTCAGGATATGTGAGTTGAAATGTGTTTTGAATTTTGAGAGAAATAGAACACAAAGCCAAAAGCAGCAATTCCTGGGGTCCAAGCATTTATAAACAGCATGAGGCATTTTAACCGATAAAAAGCATATATGCTTCTGAACATAAAAAAAAGCCTTTTGATAACATTTGTCAAGCTCAATCAGTATATTGTTTAGCACAATTTAGCAATGACTAGAACACTGCCTTACAAGCTAGGGCAGAGACACAGCATTCTAAACTGCGGTTTAATTGATTGGTGCTAAGAAAAACCTCCTTGCATGTTATTGCAGCCTCTATTGAGAAACATACACCAAAATGTTAGGCCACCTTAAAGTCATGTATAGGCAAGTAATGTTTTGGGAGAATTAAACTCATGAGCTGTTTGACCTGTCTTAGTCAGCTGTGTAGTGGCTATATTGTGAGCGTTGGGTGAAAAACCCATGACTGCACTCACTACCTTTAAAAATGTGTGCGTGCTACAGAAGTAGGCTTCACATATTATGCAAATTTGCTCAAAAGCAAAATAGATGAAACTTATAGAATCTTGAGGCTTGCTCTACTAAACAAATAGAGACATGCTTTCTAATTGCATATAAAAAGAAGTTTCTTGAAAATATTGTAATTAGTTGGCTGTTGTTATGGGCATTCTTCTGCATTACAATAGTGGAAAATGCTGCAGGATGCAAAACAAATTTGACATTTGAGCCATTAAGCAGTCATAGCCTGTTTTAATTTTAATAATTACCCAGGTCCAAGAGTTGAGGAGATCCAAGCATTTGTATGGGACTGTACACCAAAATGACCATAATTAATTTTGCTTGATTAATATATGTAATTATCCTCAGCTCTGTTTGGCTACTTTGTATTGTGCCTCATTCGAAAAAGCAGTCTGGGCTAAAACACTGTTTATAGCTTTAGTTTGAATGGGTGTAGCTACACTGCTGTAAGTTGTTAACACAGATAATGATAATGACTTCTAAACAGTATGAATGGTACATTTTTGAAACTTTAACAGTGTTTATGTGCTACATCAAACTCCATGTCTTCCATGATTTCACTTTATTAAAAAGGGAGTGGATATGTATAGCTGTCCTACCTCCATAGTGTCAGTGATTAGTGGGGAACCTTCTACAACACTTAGTTCTGCAAACTAAACATTTTCCAGTAATAGTATGTTTGTACTAGACTGTATGTGTCCCAATGCCTTTGGCAGAAGGTATTTCTATGTCAAAGCTCTGATCTTTACATTTCATTTCAGTTATAACCCAGTAAGCTCTCTGTTATGTGTGCTTAAGGTTGTAATGCAGTACGGTATGGAGACATTCCTGGGGTTCTTGCTGCCGTATGCGTTGATCCTGGGCAGTTACTTGTGCATCCTCCGCAAAATTCGCAGGACAAAGTTCCAGAGGCGCATACGCAGCGAGAAACTAATTCTGGCCATCGTCATCACCTTTTGCCTCTTCTGGCTGCCTTACCACATCATCAACATGGTGCAGGTGTGTGTTTTGGTGTATATATACAATCTAATGATGATTAAATATGTGAAGCTATATAGGATGAGTTGGATTACGGAGGAGATGTTTAGACAAGGCTCAAAAAAAATGGCATAAGACTGGTTCTAACATACTGGCAAGAACATGAAAATGTTAAGGTTTTTATTGCTAGTATATGATTACTTCATTAATGATGAATGTTAATGCTGACCATGATAAAACATGTTCCATATGTTCCACAGGTCGCAGAGGCGTTATCCCCAGCAAACTCTCATTTAAAAAAAAAGTAAGTGACACACCCACCTGCACACGCACATTATCAGGTGAGGATAAATATCCATTACAAACAGTACTGTGCAAAAGTCAGAGATCACCCCACTATTACTTAATTTTCAGTCATAACAGCCATTAAATATACATTATTCATTTTCAGGAGGTATTTCTGAGGCGATCAAATAAGATCTGAAAGGATATGTAGCTGTCAAGAAGCTGTTACTGAGAAAAGGAAATAAAAAAAGGGAACGTTTACTTATATCTAGAAAAAGGTGTTTTCTGAAGAAAATGCAGAGTGATTGCACAGCTTTAGCTTGCTAACATGTTGCTAGGTGGTTGCTGTGGTATCCCAGATGGTTGCTAGGGCATTGCTATGCGGATGCTAGGGTTTGCTAGGTGGTTGATATGGAATCCCAGGTGATTGCTAGGTGGTTGCTGGTGGTTGCTTTGACATCCTACATGGCTAATAGGGTGTTACTAATGGGATTCTTTCATCATAATATAAGCTGAGCTCACAGACCTTTGGCACCCTATTCATTCCTATGAGAAAGAAATTGTCAATCGTCGTTTAATGATGATTGTATGAAATCTGTATGTCTGATCAAAAGCTGTATACAAGGGCACAATTCCTAATCAGACCTATCATTTTGGAGTTGGAATGGTGTCGAGATCTCGAAAACTGTAGAATGAAAAATCTGATAGAAAATAAGAAGTAGCAGGAACATATGTCAGATAGCAATGGTGTTGTGCATTGCTTTGCGAAAAGCAATCACTAATCAAACAAAGAAGCAGCTGGTGTTCTCAAAACAATGGACTGACCACCCCAGAGACCTCAACATCACTGTGTTTGGGATCATGAGAAGTACACTTGGATTTTGAAAAGGAAGATTGCATCCAGCTTCTAAGACTGAACTTTAGAAGTGTGTAAAAATATTCCTGCAGCTTTCAAATCAAGTCTCCTGAAAGAAAGGAAGCGGTAATAAAAGGAAAAATGTGATACAATATTTAATAATATAAACATTTTGTCACAGCCCCTTTAACTGGAAAGCTAAGCGATGGATTTTACAGAGCTTTTCATTTATAAGAAAAGCTACATGGCTAAACAGGATAAAACCACTCAACTTTAAGATGGTTTCATTATGCCTTGAATAATGCTTGGCATTATGACTAACTCGCTCGTTCAAGTTTGAACAGTGTCCCACTTCTTACTAGACTGTATGTTGAAATCAATAATGATGAAACAAAGGGATATGCCCCCAAGGACATTAAAGGATCAAAATCCAAAAGGATATATTGGCTCATAGAGAGCAAGGCCACCCTTTTGTTTATTTAATTTAACAGCCATGAAGTGAAAGTTATTCATTTTGTGTAGATATGTCTGAGTAGACTAGATAGAAGATGCATAAGGAAGGAGGTCAAAGGAAAATAAATGAAAAGACTTTCCAAAAGTGGACTTCAAAAAATGATTAAAAATTTAACTTGAAAATGGGACTCCTAACAACCATGTAAGAGCTGGCAGACCACCAAACCTGTCCCCTTCAGATAAACAGAACTTATACTTTCATCTTTAAGAGAGAGGAGAAAATCAAGCTCCTCTTTTGATTCAGATCTGAAAAAAATCCACAGGTGTTTCTGTCCATCCTTCCACTGTGAGAAGACAACTCAACGCTATGGGTCTGAAAGGATGTATAGTTGTGAAGAGGAACTTATACTTAATGTCCATTTTGGAAAAGAAAACAAATGAAGGGGGTTACTGACTTTTGCACAGCACTGTATATATGGGGAAAACCCAAGAACCACCATACAGCTTAGCAATTGCTATATAGCAGGTAAGTGAGTTTGACTGACTCACCATTTGGAGTGTTTTATCCCGTTTGAACTACCTCTTACTCTTATTCCCATCCTTTCTACGTCTGTTTTATGCATCAGACCAGACTACTAAGTTTCCCTCTCTCATTCTGCTCTTCCCTCCATTCTCTCATCCCTTCTTCAGACTGAATAATATCTGGATGTCTCTGCGAGCCCTTACTTCCACAGTGGCCTTCGTCAGCAGCTGTTTTAACCCTGTCCTCTACACCCTGGTCGGAAAGGCCTACATCCGGCCTGCAGGATTGGCCTTCATGGCACGTCTCTTTGAGGCTGCAGGCTTCGACTCAACATCCCGCAAAACCCATCAGAACAGCCAGAACAGCCGGGATCGCAACGGGGACAAAGAGGAGAACGAGGAACTCCGCAATAAAGAAACTGAATCCACCACAAGCGGCAACACCAGCTCCAATGTCAAAGTTGTAAGCATAAAAAATGGGAAGTAGTTGTATATAGGACTGGACTGGACTAACGTTCACTTATTGGACTGTAGTGCTTACTGTTCACTTTAGTTTTTCCTACCGTCAAGCCAGCCAGTTTTCTCTGTCCACAGTTGCATTGTTTTGCAGGAACTATTGTGAGGTTGGACAAACGTTATAGAATCCTGGCAAAAATCCTGTTCAATCTAACGAGAGATTGTAGTACTCAGTTATTAAAAATAAAGGTTTCTTTGGAGTGATGTCATAGAGAAACCACTTAGAGGTTCACTAAAGAGTCGTTCAAAGGATGATTCTTCAAAAAACACTCAATTGAAATGTCCATTAAGGAATCAAGAGTGGTTTTTGAGCAGCTGCAAAAAAACAGTTTGGCTTAGTAGTGTAGCATTTGAGTAGCAAGTGTGCTACAGTCTCTGGCTTTGCAGAGGAATTCCACCATTTTCTACATAATTAAATTAAGAGTGGTTAGATGTGAAACCTTCTAGGGAAACCTTTTAAGTCAGACTTCTTCAGCTCAGTAGTGTAGCATTTTATGTAGCATTTCTAAATTTCTGATTTGGTTGAATAGGATTTTTGCTATAGGTCAAATAGAGTTGCCAGTTTGTAGGTCTCTCTGTCTGGTAACATGTTGCAACATGTTGCTTTGGCCAGAAAAACATGGATATGCCTGGACTTGGATCCTACAGGATGTGGGAATATTGTACCATGTAGAAGTATTTGCGTCACCCGACTGGTACAATTTTAATGACTCTACTGCCTCCCTCAGGACATTTTTTTTCAAAGATGTGCCAGAAAAACACCCACATCTCCAGGCTTGTGCTGTTCACCGAAGAGGATGCTTCCACTGACTCATGTTGCTCTAATTTCCGATCCTTCCATCATCATGATGCACAAGGACCCAGGATATGTCAGACCAGGCAATGATTTCCACTGTTCTGTGGTCCAGTTTTGATGCTCCTTAGCACATTGGAGGTGCTCTTTTGCCTTCTTTGTTCTCAGCATACAAAATTGTATTCTGCTGTTTTAGCCCAATCAGGACAAACTCTGATATGTTATCCAAGTACTGCAGTGACGTTCTGCAAAGGTTGAAGATGTTATTTGCCCAGTTGTGGTCCATCTGTTTCATTACTTGTTTCTTTACTGCTGTTCTTTGATCCCACTGATTCTCAAGCTGGTAGCTTTGGTAGTTTTAGTAGCTTTTCATGCCATTCTTGGTAAACCATAGAATTGGTTCTGGGTGAAAAGCAGTTTGGAGACTGCTAGAACTGGTATGCCTTGAGTTACTTAGCTAAGGTCACTGATTTTGCCCATTTCAGTTGAACACTAACCGATGCTAGAAACACTGGTTTGCCATATTTATACAATACTACAATCACATGATATGACTTGTGTGAATGGACATTTTGTACAGATGGTACATGTAGGGTATGCCAAATAAAAAGACATCTCAATTTAGGGTGGTAATTTTTTAAACATTGCAGCATAATTATATTGTTAAGATGTAAACAAAGTCACTTAGATTGGTCATGAAATGGGTCTTTCTATAGAAACACATTCTTTTACCATAATTTTTTTTAATACATCTATAGTGCAGAGGTACATGGAATGTGTTGTACCTTAGGTGTGAGTCCATAGGTTTCCATAGGTCCATAGGTTTCTTTACAATTACGCTTTCCACATCAAACCTTTCCTTTTTATTTGCAACATACAAGCTAATGTTCTGCCATACAAGCACTATTGGTGGTCTACAATGCTTTCAAGCACTGAGTAGCCAAACTATTTATAACTTATTAGACTTATACATTGGAAATGAATAAATTGTAAGAGGTTTACAGCTTTGTGAAGGTGCTGTGTCTGACTGGAACAGGCCAAGGCTGCCCCCTGGTGGACACACTGGATTTTTTGCTCTTTGCAGTACACATATTTGACCACAAGATGGCACAAATCCCAAACAAACTCTTCTTTCCATAAGCATTTTAAATGAACTGAAATGGAAGTGAAAACAATGTAAACAAGTAAAGTAACTGCTAAAAACAGGCCTTTTTGAGTGGAGCTGTTAAAGGGTCACTGATTGCACAAACTGCTGAATAGTTCAGTTGTTGAGATGTAAACAAAGTCATTCAGAGTAGTTTGAGTTGAAATGGCGCATTGCAGAAAAAGCTACTGACTCAGATTTCTTTACATTGCTGCTGACAGGAACTAGGTGTCCTGATGTCTATAGAACAAATATAACAATATTATTTACTATGTACAACCACCAATGAACCAACACATGCCTTCTGAGTTACTATAACCCTGTTTCCAAAAAAGTTGGACACTGTGCAGAATGTAAATAAAAATAGAATGCAACGATGTGCAAATCATTTAAACCCTGTATTTAATTGAAAATAGTACAAAGACAAAATATCAAATGTTGAAACTGAGAATTATGCTTGTTTTTTTGAAAAATGTATGCCCATTTTTAATTTGATGCCAACAACACATTTAAAGAAAAATTGGGACAGGTGCAACAAAAGACTGGTAAAGTTGTGTAATGCTGAAAAAACACCCGGTGGAACAACTAATTAGGTTAATTAGCAACAGGTCAGTAACATGATTGGATATAAAATGAGCATTCCAGAGAGGCTGAGTCTTTCAGAAGTAAAGATGGGAAGGGGCTCATGATCTATGAAAGACTGCACAAACAAATAGTGCAACATTTCAAGAATAACATTTCTCAACATAAACTTGAGGATTTCATCATCATGTCATGCATAAAATCAGTGAAAGATTCTGAGAATCTGGAGAAATCTCTGTACGTAAGGGATAAGGCCGAAAACCAGCACTGGCTGGCTGTGATGTTCAGGCCCTAAGGCAGGACTGCATTAATAACGGACACAATTCTCTAGAGGAAATCACTGTATGGGCTGCATGGGGAAGAAATCATATATAAACAGGATCCAGTAACTAAGTACCCTTAAGTAAGTATCTATGTTCTCTGGGCCTGAACTCATTTAAGATGGACTGAGGTGAAGTGGAAAAGCGTCCTGTGGTCCAAGAAATCAAATTTAGAAATTTATTTAGGAAATTATGGATGCCGCGTCTTCCGAGCTATAGAGGAGAGGGACCATCCGGCTTGTTATCAGCACAGCATTGCATTCTGCTTGTATTTACATTTTGTACTTTTTTGGGGGGGTTGTATATGTAATGTTGATGATGTAAAATAATGGCAAATCAGGAAAAAATAAAACAGTTTCCTTTGGAGACTATTTTGCCTAAGAACGTCCTGCATTTACCTCTCCACCATAAATAGATCAAACAACGTCTCAAACATGTAATAACTTTCTGAGAAGGATCTTTTAGTGGCATAAATGGTTTGGACGTCTGGTTCCTATCACCACCACTGTGAATAATTTCACACTAAACCACTCTGTATTACTGTGTACATTTACATCTCATTGATCTAACAAAGAAGAAATTTTGAAAAATAAGTAGAATTCCCCCTCAAGAAGCATGTGATGTTATGGTAAGAGTTGGGCAATATATAACATCATATGTAATTTCTATTTTCACAGTACACAATATGTTTTCCTGTTTAATTTTTCTGAGAACTGATACGTTGGAAGAAAGAAAAACGAACAAGTAGTTTTTTTTTTTTTTAGTAGTTTGTTTAATTCAGACAATTTGGCCTACCCATTGAGCCTGTGCGTTTCATTTGTATAGTGTTTCAATGTTTGTAGTGTAACATTGTAATGTTTCAAATCTTTTATTGTGTTTTTAATGTTAATTTAGTACAAACTCAGGTTACTATTACTACTTACCGCCATCAAAATATCCTAATTATTCTTTTAATGGTAGTAACATTTTCTTTTAAGATGATTTAGGCAAGGCACGTTTATTTATATAGCACCTTTCATACACTGCTGTCATTCAAAGTGCTGTCTTAGGCTATCAAATTATTCCACCTGTGCATTTCAATGCTGGTGGCATTTTCTGACATGGTGATTTTGGCTATCAAAACATCCTACCTACAGTTTTATGTACAGCGTTACATGTAAATATGTTCTCTACATCAGTATAGAACATTTCAACAATATGTGGCCATGCCACCACCACTCCGTTCAGGGATATCACATGATATATCAAAAGATGTGGTGAAGCTTTGTGCCCTATCCTACCACACCCATCCTACCCACCCAATTAAGGAAACCAAAAGTGGTGAAGAAAAAATGAAAGAACAAAATAACAACAACAAAAACAACGACAACAAAAAACAGCAGACAGATGGGCCGGAAAGACACACTGACAGCAGAGAAACTGGACAGATTTAACGAACAGAGAGATGAGAACATTTAATGGGGTATTAGGTGTTGAATTAGTGTTCACTTTACACTTGTGTACAACTTTCAGCATCATTCAGTGAATGAATGTTTCAGCTGACCAGCTTCTCACAAGCTCCTTGTTTTGGAGCTAAACGATACGGGGTGACAAACAATGTGACTACGCTGCTAAAAAAGATGGCTCTTTAAAAGTTCTTTAGTAGAAATATGGTATAACCCCAGACGACTTATAGGTAAATCCCCATTCTTTTGGACAGAATGGTTTCAAAGAGGCATTAAAACAATAGGTGATCTATACTGCAGTGACTCTCTTCCTTTGAGTGTCTTAAACAACAGTTTAATCTACCTCCAAACTCATTCTGGAGATATTGTCAGATAAGACATCTATTGAAGCAAACCTTTGGCTCCTTGACAGTATGTCCCACTAAGGCAGATATTTCTGACCAGATCCTGGAACACTTTGGTAAAGGCCATGAGGCTGCTAGGTATTACACCATTCTTAACTCATTCAACAGTAAAGAATCCTCCCTTAAGACAACCTGGGAAACAGATCTTAATGCCTCTTTTACTCAAACAGAGTGGGATAGGATTCTGGGGCTCCCAAAGAAAATGCCCAGAGAGCTGAAGACACGACTCAATCAGTTTAAAATCATAAACAGAGCACATTGGACTCCATCTAGAATATATAGAATTGGCCTACTAAATAGGTCCACCTGTTGGCGCTGTGGAGACCTGTATGCCCTAATATACAGATTTTCTGGTCTGATATCCAATACCATATTGAGGAAATTCTGGGCAAACACATTCAGTTCTCACCTGGAATGTGCATCTTGGGGGAGCCCTCTACTTTGACAGATCTAGAGCCCTCTTAGGCCAACTGAACTCAGACAGCCTTAATGCTAGGCCGTAAATTGATTGTTAGAGAGTGAAGGGCCTCTACTGCACCATCTGCATCTCACTTGTATGCAGAAATGGGCAGCTTGGCTGCATTGGAAAATCTATCGTTCAGGCTTCAAAAAAATTCTGAGGTGTTTCACTCTAAATGGAGAAAATAGTTGTCTTATCTGGATGCAGGAGCACAACGTGTGGGTCTGGATATCAATGAAGTATTACTCTTTGTGTTTTTTTTTTCAAATTGTTTTAAATGAAAATACTCTGTGCCTCCTCCCTCTTTTTTTCCTTCCTATGTTATACCTGTTTCAAAATTTAAACTTAATAAAAAGTAAATCTCAAAAAAAAGTTCTTTAGTAAAGGGTTGGTTCTATTTAGAACTTCTTTCTAGAATCATTTCAAGCTTAAATGGCTTTTTTGCATGGTGAGATAGTTCTTCAGATTGATGGAGAATGTGCTGAATGTGGTTCCCTATAAAAGCGTTTTAAAAATGGGTTCATCTGTTGTTACAAGGCATCATCAAAGAACCCTTTTTGGTGCTATTCAGAGCCATTTTCAAAAAAGCTTCTATTTAGAACCACATACAACACATTCTCCATCAATCAATCTGAAGAACCATTTTACCTTGCAAAGAGCATTTAAGCCTGAAATGGCTTTATGTTGAGCTCTTGGTTCTAAACAGAACCATTCCCTTTACTAAAGGACACTTGAAGAACCATCTTTTTAAGAGTGTGAGCTAGTAATGTTAGCTGAGGTGACAGACAGTTAGCATCTGTGTTTATCTTAAAGACTTTAGACTGACTGCTGTTCTCTGGGTAAATTTCAAGCCACATTATCTCCAGTTATGGTGGTGTCGTTTTGGATTTAATTTAATGCAGTAACAATAATCTCACTGTGGCACTGGGAGAAAGTGAGCAGCGCTTGCAATATCAGCAGGGCTGCCTGTACCTTCAAGAAAAATAATGTTTTTCAGTTTTATCAGCTGCATGTGGAAGCAAGAATGAAGCTTGTTTTTCTTCTTTTTTCTCATAAATGAAAACTGCAAGTGCTGTTAATCTGATAACAGGTGCTGGTTTCGGTGGTCTACCCGTTCTTGCAGGTACTTGTTAAGAGTCTCATTTTCTGCCTAGCTCTTAATCTTTTTTTGAACTTCAGTCTTGAAAAATCATTTTTCTTGGAGTTTCTCCTTTCTCATGCAAGTAAATGATCTAACCTCCTCAGAAATATTTCCTAAAAGTAGCCAGATTGAGGGTGTCAGGTTGAATATGAATCAGGCCTTAGGTTTACAGGATGTGGCGAATTGCAGGACCAAAGACAAAACACTTTCTTCTGCTAACATTTCAGTTACTTTCATGCATGTTTGTATTGATTTCACTGGGTCACACTGCACATTTGGATTTTTTTACCTGTTATGTGCACCCTCCTTAGGAAGTACTGACCGATTCACGTGACCCATGATCCAGAACCACTAAAGATGTTAAATTGAAAAACTGTAAAAACATAAAAATGTCCAGAATTCAGTTTTAATCAAACAGGATTAAAACAGTCCTGCTGCTGTGTTTCATGACTTTTATAAACTGTGACTGGCCAGAAAAAAACACTCTGTGTTACACTTTATCTGTGTTATATTTGGTGCTATCGTGAAAGTAAGGGGGAGGGGGTTAATGCACACTCAGTGGTCAAGCCTGAAAGACAGATTGCTTAACATTAAAGGGTTGCAAAATAAGCCGTGTCAGCCACGTGATGGAAAGGAAATGCAAATTAGCACATGAATATTCAACACTGCTGCACTGTGCTGGCTTATACTCCATTCATGTAGCTGAGTGTAAGAGAGAGAGAGGGAGGGTGAGTGAGGCTGACCTAAAGGCAGACCTGTTGAGTTTAAGGCTTAAGACTTTAAGACCAATGCATACCACAATTGATACGTAATCAAAAAAAAATCCTGTAACTTTTACTGTTACTGTTACACCATCTGCTGTTCCTCTTTTTTTTCCCTGTTTGTGGCAAGAGCACTCTTTGTTCCTCAGCCACATTTATAGAGGGATGACGTAGAAAAGAGCTTGGAAACTCTATGAGACACACCCACAGCTGCTGATCACCCGGACGAGACCAACTTCATTCCACAGGGTGCCTTTTGTTCGTCCAGGTAAGCCTTTTATGATTTTAAATGTATGCCTTTGCCTGCATGTATGTGTGTTTGTGTTGTGATGTAAAGCACTGATGTGAAGCACTGTGTCAACAGATCGTTTTCTTTGCCTTAGAAACTTCTTTCTCTCATTTTTTTTCTTTGTTTTGACATACATATGCATGCTCACACACTTACTGGGGTGTTTCATTGACTAATTCATATAACGCAGCATATAAAAATAACTCAGTATTATGTATTTAGCAAATTGTGTAGCGTGACATACAAAACCACTAGAGCGCTTCTTATCTGATCGACCCAATACAACAAGGCAACAACAGATGCTTCAGATGCATCAATCTCTTCACTGTTAAGATGATCAGAAGGTTGAGTTATTAGACTTTGATCAAAAAAAGACAATGCTGTAAAAACAGATTGATTATCTCAGATTAGTAGATAATATTGCAGTCTACTTGAGCAGATAACATTCAGATGACTAGATCTCCAAAATGGTAACTTTACAGGAAAGGGAAAAAAACATTCTTAACTTTTTTTTGTTTTTTTTTGTATTGGTCCATTCATTATGAAATGTTCATACTAGTGTTTACAAATTGACAAAAAGGGCATACAATATATTGCAGTGTCTCGATTTTTGCATATTTTCTAAAATTCTCCTTTAAAGGCATAACATCAGACTTATATGTTTCATGTCAAAATGCTGAGTAATCGTCATTGCTACATTCCAACAGCAACTTCAGCAGCTGTCAACTCATTTTACATCTGTGTCCAAAGTCAACCGATCAAAGAATGGTTTTCAATGTGATGGGTCAGTCCTTAGTGATTTCCTGAGTGTCCATTGGTCAGTTTGACACAAAATGTAGACGGACAAACGAAACCACCAATTACACACACTGAGAGGCAAATGACCTGTATCTTAATCCCTCTTAATCGCCTTATAACTCCATATGTGAGTCACTAACGATCTCAGAATAAGATGTAATTGAACGCGCAGATCCCACAGAGTCAGCAAATTACTTATTTCTGCACTGTATTGTCACAAACATAGAGAAACATATTGCTGAAACATTTTTTGTCTTTTTCTGTTTTTGACATAATTTGAAAATACCTGTTGTCCTTTACATTGTGTGTAAATGTCATGACATTCTTCCTTCTCCTGTAATGTTCTTCATTTTGGATATACAAGGTTTTGTTCCCACAACAGCTATATATAGAAACAGCGAATCTGACAAATGGGTGTGTTTGTGGACCACAGTGGGTTAAACGCAACCGCCATGGGCACATATAAGCAGCTGACTGAATATCTGAAACTGAAGATAATTGACTCTTGACTAAGCAAGATGAGACTAAAAAAGATATCGACCTTCTGCTTGTAATATTCACTGAAGTGACATTAAGGGATGGAATGTAAAATGAACTGTACAAGTGAAGACAAGATTCGAAAGACCATATATATACACACATATATATATATATATATATATATATATATATACATATACGTATATATATATATATATATATATATATATATATATATATATATATATATATATTTATATATATATTACTACAGAAATGAAATATGTAATTCCAGAAATGAAATAATGTAATGAAAAATGAAATAATGTAACATTATATTGGTTGCTAACTGATGCTTGTTACAGTCAAACACAAGGCCACCAAAATCTTCCTTCAGTCTGTAAAATATCAGTTCACTAATGAGATCAGCTAACATCTTCATTGAATCTGAAAATGAGACTTTAAGCGAAAAGTTCAGAGGAAGTAGGTGGATAACAGCACAGAAAGTGCTGTTTGATTTAGGAAAGAGCGCACTTCTCCTCCACATAGCGTCATAATGGCATGAGTCAAAAACCATTGTGTAAATTTTATGCCGCAATTCAGTCTGGTATTGAACTATGACGGTCTCAGTGGTGTCACGTTATTACCACCAGATATGTGTCCATACCCATTTCCACACTTTTGCAGTAACCTTGCCTTACAGTAATTATTTAAGCAATAGAACACGAGAGGGAGTGTGTTATTGCGAAATGGTCGCAGGCACAATCCAAAGGCGAATGCCGTAGATCATCATCATATTCGCGATAACACACGACCTCGAGTTAAATAAATAAAGTAAAAAATTAATAAACTGGGCCGTGAACGTGGCATTTAATATGTTTTAATGTTCGCAATTCCTTCCGCCAAATTATAGTTCCTTAACAAGCAGCTTGTTGCTACGTCAGAGTAACGAGCTCCGCTCACTCACTGCACAGCTGGCAGTTGGTTCTCCGGCTCCACACAGACCAACTGACCGTATTTAGTGTAGTCTCATCTTCAGAGTCTGACCAAATCGACTGTCGGTCAAATGTGATCTTAAAAGTGTCCATTTTCTGTTTGTGGCAAAGTAAGAAGTGAAAACGTTCAAATGGCTTGAGCGTCTCCTACAGCTGTCAAACTCGTTACTTAGCAACGGCGTCTCAGCGGAGTGATACAGTGTTTGTGAAAAACCTGTGATGTTATGGCGAAATAACAGCGCGGTTGGAACGCTTCTCAACCAATCAGCTTGCGTGGCCGGAACTAACTGTTGTATAAAATGTAATATTACTGGGAGGAACGATACTTCTATGTCACTGTATTAGACACATCTGCCCTGCATACCTTGTAAAAACCTCAATTCCAAAACATTTGGGACAGGATGTAAAATGTCAGTAAAACAGTGAGCAGTGATTAGTAACTTCTGTTTGACTTGTGTTAACTGAAAACAGCACAAAAACATAATATTTGAGTTTTTTATCTTATGAACTTTATTGGGTTATTTTTGTAAATATACACCCATTCCAAATTTGGTGCCACCAACATGTTCCAAAGATGTGCTACGTCACCTTTCCTTTTAACAAAACTCAGTAAAGACACAAGTTGATGTAATTTTCAAGCTTTTTTTTGTTGTTGTTGCCATTCTTATGTTATACGTCTTCAGTTGTGCAACAATCCAGGACCTTCATTGCTGTAATTTGTGCTGCATAATGCACAACACATTTTCAGAGAGAAGCAGGTCTAGACTGCAGACAGGCCGTTCTAGCATCCGCACTAGCATTATGCAACCATGCTGTTATAATGTGCAGAATGTGGCTTGGCATTGTCATTTTCATAGTTCATGGTAGATGAGCTCGAGCCCGGAGAAGTGGGCGGACATTATTTACATATGGCTTCTAAAGTCTTATTTTCATTAAAAATGAGTCAGTATTTTGAGGAAATAAGTAATTACAAGGTACTGAGTCAGTGATTATGTGGAGATTTCAAGTCAATATTTTGAGATAATAAGTCATCTTCTTTACTTGGTGAGAAAAATAACATTCTCCTCTGCTTGGTGGGAATCCTTATCATTGAGTGTTTTATTTCAGATTTCCTTACAGTGGTGGTAATAAAAACCAGAGGTCACAATGTCACAACCCTTTTTATCGTTGTGTGTATCATGCAGCAAGAAATCCTTTTGTTATGCTGTTCTGAAATAGCTGAATTGAACTGAATTGAATTTAGTTGAATTGAACTTTGTCCTTTTGTTTCTTCTCTTCAGCGTACACATCAGTCCGGTCAAACCTTCCCCATCCTTCACGCGAGAAACCAATCCACATGGCCAGTCTAGCTTTGACCACGCCCATCTCAGAGCCACCTAACTCCTCCACTACATCAACCAATGCCCTTACTGTGTCCCACCAGATCGGGATAGCCATTTTAGTGCTAGCCTTTATTCTCGGTTTCCCCGGCAACATCTTTGTGGTGTGGTCAGTCCTGTGTCGAGTCCAGCAGCGCTCCGTCACTTGCCTCCTGGTTCTAAACCTGGCAGCGGCTGATGCTTTTGTGCTCCTCAGCGCCCCCTTTTTTCTGCGTCTGCTGGCTGGTGGACGGGGGTGGGAGTTTGGGGATGTCATGTGCAAGACAGTGCACTACCTGTGCTGCGTCAACATGTACGTGTCCATTTACCTCATTTGCCTGATGAGCCTGGACCGCTGGCTGGCCGTCACCAGACCTTTCCTGTCTCAGAGGCTGAGGAACAAAAGGACCATCTATCTGGCCATGCTGGGCATCTGGGTCATGGCCTTTTTACTGGCTCTGCCTATGCCCTTCTACCGCAGGTATGTGCATGTGTAGGCTTCATTCCATGCTATGTATGCTAAGTATGTAAATGAAAGAAAGCAGAAAGGCATTTATTGAGACACATAATGGATTTTACAGAAACAACAAAAGTTCTAATTTCTTGCTATAACAGCCGTAACACCTTCATAGGGCAAATGTGAGCAATGTTTGTTTTATTGAGCTCAGGCTGCATTAATCTTCAGCTGAGAGCTCCTAGTACTGACAGCCAAAAAAAAAACAAGCCAAGTAATCAGCCTAGGGTTGTATGTTGACCCCTTAAATGTCTCAAAGTTCCATTATACACGTATATAACCTAAGAATAGCTTAGTAAGACTTAGTTTGTTACAAGTCTGGAATTTTAGGGGTTAAAGGCTACATACAATGATCAAAAAAGACAAATTGTCTGTCACAATCATTATTTGACAATTCGTTGTCAGCTAAAGTTTCAGGCATAGTTAGCTGTCTAAAAACTATATCATGCCTTAAAAATGCAGGTCTGGAACTAGTTCTTTTGATAAAAATAATACCAAGTTATAATAATAATAATAATAATAAAAATAATAATAATAATAATAATAACAATAATAATAATAAGATATCTTGCTTGATAATTAGCAAGATGTTAAAAACAGTGTAAATCAGTCTTATTCTTATCTCTCCATCCCCATAGAATCCGCCAGATCCGTGAGTACAACAACATGACTCTGTGTTTGCCGTACCACTTTAACTTCAAGGGACATGAAGTCTTCCAGTACTTGTTTGAGACTCTGATGGGCTTTGTGGTCCCATTCACTTTCATCCTGGCATGCTACACCTCTGTCATTCGTCGCCTACGCAGCGCTATGTTTCACGGCCGTGTGAAGGGCAGCCTCCTCATCCTCCTCATCATCATCACCTTTGCTGTCTTCTGGTTGCCCTACCACCTGATAAACATATTACAGGTATATTCTACATGTCCTAAGAACAGAGAATGTGTTTTATTAAAAGGGTTGCTTGGTCAATAATGTTAGCACAGCCAAAAATGAAAGGAAACTAGGAGGTCATGAAAGTCAAATGCTAGCTGCCGGCTTTTGTGTCTTTCCTTTAACCATTAGCATTTTAGCATGTTTCACTCATTTTTTCTTAATTAAAACCTTAATAGCATCTAAACATCTTAATTAATGCAGGTTATGAACGTACAGGGGGGGATGCTGAAATCAGCTCATGGCCCTGGTCTAAAATTGCCATCAAATGAAGGCTGGTGTTTTATTGCAGCTCAATAAAACCAATATAGTTACAGAGTGTAAGTCCTGCTGATTGTGAGTTATAAAGCATAGAAAGTAGCCATGAAAATATCTGCTAGGATCAGGTTCTAAAGGTTAATACAGAGGTTCTTTTTACAGAGCCATCATAAATGAGAGTATAAAACTGTTGAAAACATTACAGGACATTAATAATCCAACTTGTTAGGGGCCACAGCTGCTTATGTTGCTTATTAGGTAGAGCTGGCTCTGTCTGCTATTAGCTTTGCACTCCTTGATTTCAGAACAAGTGTGATGATGATCACTGATCTATCACTGTACTTATGCACTATGTCAGTGGTTACCAATCCTACTCCTGGAGACGGACATACCCTGCAGAGTTCAGTTCAAACCGAGATCTGCCATATGTGATCCAGTTAAACAGTCTCTTCAGAAGAACTTGACCAGTTGGATCAGATTTGGATTTGAACTCTGCAAGTAACTAGCTTTCTAGGGTTTTATGACTAATACACAACATAAACATTAATTGTCTATTCCTCCCTCTTTTCTTTGTCCATGTGCAGGTGATTGGTGTGCTGCAGGACAGCCAAACTCTCTCCAACTTGGTGAAGGCCGCTCGGCCCAACGTGACTGCGTTTGCCTTCCTGAGCAGTAGTGTAAACCCCATCCTCTACGTGTTTGCTGGCAGCTCCTACATCCGCCGCGCTGGCCTCAGCTTCATGGCCAAACTTTTTGAAGGCACCCACTCTGACCACTCCGTCCTCAGCAGGCGTGGCACCTCCACAGACAACTCCAACCTCGCAAAGCTGACAATTAAATCACTCCAGAGCAGAGACCGGGTAAGGAACAAGAGCTGTGGAGAAGAGGAGAGTAAAAAGATGGAGATGAGCTGTAAGGAGGAGCTTAAGAGTCTAACCACAGTGCAGTAACCTCACAGACTGACAATGGCAAAGATAAACATTGTGCAGCAGCATGAAGCAGACTGCATCCTGTTCATTCTTAACTACACTGGCGGTCTAAAAGAATTGCTCATGTTTAGCAACTGTTTTTGACGTGTTTATCCTGTCTGTTTACTTATGGATACAATTCAATGCAAGATGCCACACAATTGATTAAGAGGGAATTCCACCATTTTTTCATCATTTCTGCATAGTTAAATGTCTACGATGTAAACAAAAAAAATCATTTAGAATGGTTTGATGTGACATGCTGTATTCTAGGCAGAATTGTTCACAGTGGTGGTGATAGGAACCAGACATCTGAAGAGTTTAACACCTCTAAAAGCTCCCTCACAGAAAGCTATTGCATGAAATGGGTCACAGATACACTGCCTCCTGATGCCTGAAACATTGTTTTACAATAATTTTGAGATGAAGTTTGGCTGTATTTTTTTTTTTTACATGACAGAGAGGCACATGCAGCGCATGTAAAGCAAAATAGGCAACATTTTTTGAAAGTTTACAGCTATTTCAGCATTATTAATATATAAAAACTGAAAATATGTGTAGGTTCACCGCTCATTTTGTTAGTTAATGTAATGGCTATATTTGCGTTGTAGACATTGCGACCCCTGGTTCTTATCACTACCACTGTAAAGGAATACAGGTCTGTATGTTTCTCTACAATTAACTATTTGACATTAAACTACTCTGAATGACTTTGTTTACATCTTAATGGTTTAACCATGCAGAAATGTTGAAAAATTTATGGAAATTTGCTTTAGGTGAAATTCCAGCAAGGTTTAGAAATTCATTAAGATATTCAAACCAATATTGTTAGTGGACAGCAGCGAAGAACGTATGGGAAGCAGTTAAATCATTTTGAACAACCTTAGGAAAGTATAGATTTTTCTCTTCACACATTGACCCACAAGATTTCAAAGGGTTTAAAATTATGCCTGATTTTCGCTTAATGAACAGAGCGCCATCTTGCATTGTCTTATTGGAAATTGCATAATTTACTGCGGTCTCCTTCAATTAGGTGAAGAGACAGGACAAACATTTCAATAGAAGTTGCTAAATTTTGGTGTTTGAATGTGCATATATGCAATTCATTTCAACTGCCGGTGTATTTTTGCTTCAGAAAGGAGGGTCTTTGAAATGTTCTCGATGCATTTCTAGGTTGAAAGGAAAGAAACCTTGCAGGAATAAGCTGGACCTTCTGAAAAATGGCTTTACGTGGAGCTTGCAACGTATCTTCATTTTCAGTTTTCTGAGCTTTGGGACCCTTAATTGCATTATCGCGTTGCATTTTTTTAATATTCAGAGAGCTTTATGTGTTGTGAGTTTTGTTTTATAAACCGGCATTTAAGTATGTGCTTTCAAAGAAACTGAATACGCACACAGTTACATAGGCTAAGTGCAAATGAAAGCTCAGGGCTAGTCGGCCTTTAGTAAGTGGTCAGCATCTGATTATAGACCCTTTCATTCACATCTGCTATTAGTTGTTCACAGTTCCACAGTCTCCTTATAACACATTCTTAAATATAATATAAAAATAAGGGAAGAACCTTCATTCTTACAGAGGCTTTATATTATGAGGAGATCTTCAAACTTTAAAAAGATTCTTTGCACACCATATTTACAAAAATGATTCTTTAAAGAACCATCCACTGAAAAGTTCTACAGGGAACAAAAAGTACTTCTAAGGCATCACTGTCCTTTATTTTTAAGAGTGTAATTAAGGTTAACATTTGACCCTTGGACAGTTCAACTTCCACCTTCAACAAAAGACTAAATAGCAGTATTTCTATTCAAATGCATTGTGTGTCCAAAAGTCTGTAGACACCTGCTTTACCAATGTTTTTTTTTCTGTAATCAAGGGTATTAATAGGGAGTTTGTCCCTTTTTACTGCAGTAAATGCCTCTACTCTTCTGGGAAGCCTTTACACTGGATGTTGGAATATTACTGTGAGGATTTGATTGCATTCAGACACAAGAACATTTGTGAGGTCAGGTACTGATGTCGGTCCAACTCATTCCAAAGGTACTGGATGGAGATCCATCACTTCGGTTGCTCCATAGCCCAATGCTGGGGGCTTTATACCCCTCTAGCTGTCACTTTTCATTGGGCATGGTGACTGTAGGCTCATACCTGGCTTCTCCAGAGTGTCCCATTCTATTGGTGATCCTTTTCTATGGAGATTATAAGCTGCAAGAGTTAAAATAAAGATGTAAGAGCGTAGAACGAGTAAAACAATGAAGGAAAAAATGCTGAAACACAAACTGTTCTCATTTTTCATTCTCATCTGTACAGCATCTAGCCGAATCTCAGTCAGGTCAAAACTGCCACTATGCATTCAACTGTTGTCAGTAATACAATAAAGAGTGGAAAAAACATCAGCTCTGTTGTTTATGTGTGTAAGGAGCAGAGAGGCATCTTTAGAGCTTTCTAGGCATTGAGAAGTTCTATTGATTTCTGGAACACAGTGACTGTGAATATGAGTCATAGTCAAACTAGGTTTCAGTCAGTTGTTAGTAATAGAAAACAGTGGCAGCAGCTCTACACCAGGGCTCTGCACTGAAAGTCACTATAAAACTGATACATACAAGGTAAAATGTATGTTAATGTCTGTTAGAAGCTTAAAATATAACATAAAATGGCTTTTGCAAGCTCCAAAAATCTGTGTTTAAATGCCAAAAAAATGTTTTGTGCTGTTAGCTTAGTGCTAACATGCAACTAGAATCCCATAGGGTTGTTCTTAGAAATTAGCATTAGCATAAAGGGTTTTTCCCCATATTTTTTGTCATTAATTTGACATTTATGACATGAATTGAAGGCCTGAACTGATAGCCATGGTTTACCACTGGTAAGGAGGTACACATAAAACCTCATTGTTGAATAAAACACTACATCACTGAACAGCACATTCAAATTAGCGCCCAAGAATATCTCTTGCTTGGGTGTTGTACAGGCAGGCTTTTCGGTAGCCTGAGTTTGGGCTGTAACTTCAAAAAACAACCATCAATACAGCTGATTCAGAGGAAATGATTTGCATCAAATGAGCAGATATGTTGCCAAGAAACCACAAGGGAGGAAGAAAGCACTGTTCTCAAAGTAAAAGGCTCTCTGAAAAAAATGTAGTTTTTATACAATGCACAATTTGATTACACCACTTACATGTCATAACTATTCCCAAAGAAAAACACCAAAAATAGCCTACAGTTGAAGCAAGATTTCAGACTGTTTGAAACTTATGTTCTTGAAAATGAATCAGTTCCCTAAAGTAAGGTCACAGAGCTGCTAAAGCTTTAACTTGAGGATATTTACATCTGTACTGTAACAATTACAGCCCTTAATTTACAGAGACACTCATTTCAGGGTAGCATTAGTATTGGACAGGTGAATATAATCATAAAAAAATGTGTGTGTTTATATGGCCATGCTTCAAAATCAGCTCAGCCAGTGGGTTGATTTGGGTTTCACAAGCTTCATTGCTTTCTGGTGCACTACTGAACACCTGTAACTCTCATCTGTACTTGCCGCCACAAAACAGGAAATAATGCTGATCCTGTTAAAGACAAGGATTTCAGCAAAGCTCAGATTCACATTCAGGTTACCCTTTTTCTACTTGAGTTCCTGGCCCCTAAACTGTATTTGCATGGGCCTGCTGGTCGTTGTTGTGATGCAAGGTGATCTGTAATGAACTTTGGACTTATGACAAAAGGCTCTTTGGTAAATTTATGTATTCTTTTGATCAGAGAAACGCACCAGCCAGCTGCATCCTAGTCCAGCCTTTAAGAAGCATCAACTTTACAGTAATGGGCCTATCAACACAACACTGTTGTGAATACTGCTTATATACCATCTACTGAGTTTTATACTCTTGAAATGTATACTCTTGAAATTTTCAACCTAATCTCTATCTTTCAGCGATTATCCATTGACTCTAAACACATAAGACAGTGGTGAACTATGACTGTTAGAGCTAGACCTTCAATTCAGACCATAATCTCAATACTTAGTCAAAACCTAAGGAGAAAAACACCTCTAGGATAAAGGAAATCTCTGCCAGTGTCTCAGTTGGATCCCAGTAGCTTATTAGTGCTAAGCTAAACAGACATATTAGCATATTTTTCCTTTTTAGCAGTTTTTTTAGCATATTTTTCCTTTTAGCAGTTTCACAGTCAATCCTTTGATTGACAGACTTGGTGTAGAGATGCCACTGCTGTTTACATTTCTAACAACCCACTGATTCACAGTCATTGACGCATGGAGGACTTCCTGATGGCCTAGAGTGGCTTTTTCTCACAAAATTGGTCCCAACTGTTTGAAATCAAAACACGACTGGTTGATTTTTCAGTCACTTTCCAATCATGCTGATAGTTAATTTAACACTAAAGCTTTCTCCTCAGCTCTTGAAGTCCTAACCAGTAGGAGAGCTTGCTTAGCTATATCTACTTAGACACCATGGAGAAACATTTCATGATTGGTCAATTATCTGTTGGGCTTTATAAGACTTTTTTTGGGCTTTTCCAGCCAGAACTTAACTATGAAACAAGAATAATACTTGCAGAGTTAAAATACAAGCATGATTCTATCAAACAAAGGAGGCCTGGAAAGCCTTAAAGGTTCCCCTCTGATAGAAGCCAAGGGTGAAGCAACTTTTCATTGGCTAAAGCACCTGCTCATTGCCTTCTACTTTAAGAGTATTTTGAGTTGACAGGTTTTCTGTTCTTTTGCTAAGCACAGGAAACATGTTGAAATTACTGTTTGTGGTTATTGATCGTATGGTACCGATGCAGCAGACAGAGATTAGGTTAGAAACTGAAGGACTATCCCTTTAAGCCATTTGTTTGGATCTGAGCAGTTGATATCTTTCTGTCCACGTGGCCTTTCTGTTCTTGAGGTTTACCACTGATTTGCATTTTCTCTATATGGTATTTTGGTACATCCTGGACAGTGTTCTTGATGTGTTAGCAGTTTTTCCTCACAGCTGAAAGGATTCAACTGCTGTGGTTTTCCGCCTTCTTCTAGATTGTTCTCTCTTGCTGAGCTCTCTTCTTGCTTCTTAACAAGAGAAAAAAAAATGTTTTTCGGTACATCTAATGTTTTTGGCTTTCTCTGAGTGATTTATTCTGATTTATCAGTTTCATTGGCATTCACTGACACTTCTTTGGTCATCATGTTGAGAGAAACATCGTCAAACTCCAGATGTAAATGCCACATCTGGAATCAACTCTAAACCTTTAGTTGTTTTTCTTGTGCATAAACTAATGATGCACATGGTTTGCCAAGAAACAACTGAGAGGTCTGGTGTTTAATTACAGTCAACAGAATGCACAAAAATGTATATGTTTAATTAATCACATATGCTGTAGGTGACATTTTAGACTGAAACATTAGTGAATGCTATATACTTTTATTTTAACATAATGTTCTTTCAAAATATAAAATGTTTTCTTGAGTAGTGCAGGAGTTAAAAAGAACAGAGCCATGAGGATGCAGGTTGAAGACTGAAGATCTGTAGTGAAAATACTGCTATAAACCCTTTTTCACAGTAGCCATAACATACAGAGTATATTTAGATGGAAAGGTGTGATTCACAAAAAGTGATTTACAAATAGATGAGCAAGCGAGTCAACATTTGTGGCAGTACACAATTTTCTGATATCAGGAAAGCAGTCCATTTTATCTTGGGGGGGACATCTTTGTGGAGAAGTGTGGACAGTTTTTACAGCGGGGGGGGGGTGTTGGCTTATTTCTCAAATATATCACCAGCAGGTTTAGAGCGTCACTTGAGCTAAGTCAGGATCGGCCTGGGCCTGTTTAGATATTTGTGTCCAGTGATTAGATCACAGCAACAACTCCAGAACAGCTTAACAGGAAGGCTGGAGCATCTGATATTGTTTGGGGTACATTTTGGCTGACTGAGGGGCAATGAACTGACAAGAAATGCCATGAAAGAATGTGTTCATGTGTTGAAGATCAAGGTTAAGGTAAACTCTTATGTCCCTCAGGCTAGGGTAGGAAAATTCATGTGGTCATGGTGAATCTCAGTTAACCTTCCTCTTCCTATGTTCCTATTATGCTGACTCCACCAGTACACAGAAAGAGCATTACACTTGGCGCATAGCTTGTATCTAAGAATTATAAGATAACTCTGTCACTGAGGCATGCAGTTCCTTAACTGGAAAAACAGAGGATCTGCCAGATTTCACGAACGCTTATTTGCACTCGATGAAACGTTCAGCATTCGTACTTCTTGAGAATACCATAATATGGTCATGCACCAGTTCTTTAAAGTTCTACTGGAAATTACAGCCCTCATTTATTCCCCACAGACATATCCTGAAATTTCCTGCTATTATAAATATTGCTATTTCCAGTGAAGGCAGCCTATGAGTGATAAAACATGAGACAAAAGCTTACATTGTCAGCTACAGGATGCACTGTTAGGTACAGAATTGACACTTTGCAGCTGGATATTTTTACCACAGCATAAAAGATTTTCTTCTTTTGAGAACTGTTCTGTAGCCAACACTTTCAAAAACGTGGACCAAAAACAAGCTCATCATGTCATAAATGTAACCCGTGTTGAATGTATTGTATAGTTATCTTGTTCCTCTTAACACTTTAATACAGTCTAAAGCTGCTTTGTATAACTTCACAGTTCACAGAAGCTACTTTTTCCCAGTTCACAGTTTACAGTATAGCTACCTTGTTATGCTATACAGTTTACAGTGTGGTTCCTTGTTTCCATTTAACCACACTTTACAGTAGCATATAGCTACGTTAACACCTGAAAATATTCATTGTTGCTGACCAGCATACCAGCATCCAAAACACAACATGCTGGTTTGTACTGGCTTCTCCAGGGACAGTATTGCTAATGCATACCACTTTACAGTATAGCTGCTTTGCTCTGCGTTAC